TTAAATAGTACATTTACTGACAGTACAAGTGACAGTTATTTCCCAATTTCAATATGCCAGACACCGTGCCGAGAGTTCCACAGACTAGGGGACAACCATTCCACCGTAGCTGTAAGGTGTCTGCTGTTGCTATATACAGCGGAGGCCTGGTGGTACAAGAGAATTGTCCTACCCCCCATCCCTCTCTTCCTCTCTCTCCTCTCCTCTTTCTCTTTCTTTCTCTCTTTGTGTTTGAAGAAGTATTGCACATCCATTTTAAATATTACACATCTATTTTAAATGAACTTATGTGCTATTTGAATGATCGAGAAAATGTCTCTGCTATGCTGTGGTGTGCCAGAGGATATAAAATTATATACAGAGCATAAGTGCATTCTCTTAAAATCTTTAGCCTAAGTATGCAGAACAGCAAAGTCTAGGGCCTTAATAGTCAATAGTATGCGCACTTCCAGGTCATATTTGAGTTGAGAGGCACTTTCAGTGTTCAGTAGGTGGTCAGCTTTCAGACATGGGGCAGCACCAATACATGATCAGGAGGAAATCACTGGCTCTCTGTCTGCTACCCCAATAAGATGAGCTGAGTCACCCCACTGTGGCCTCCAGTCCACCTGTCCCAAAGCACAGAAGTTGGAGTCCTCTGGTAGTTGGCTTCACTGAGTTGGGGCTACTGTGAGTGTCATGTGATCATTACCCTGGAAGGGAACTGGCAATTTTGGAGTAAAATCACAAGCCAAGGACACTTCACAAGCTGTGTGTCTATACTGTCTGGAAATGTTCTTGTCAACAAAGTCATCACTCAGAAAGAGCCTGACCTAGAGAACAGTGTGCAGGCTTGCAGCCAACCCTAGCTCCGTCTGCCCAGTTCACACAGGTTAGACTCCATGGGGTCAGTTTGTATTCGCTTTTATTTAGTAATTTTCAACTGCGATATCTTACAGACTAATCCATTTTTCTATCTTTTCTTAAAAACCAGAGGCTCCATGCACACCAGGCCACCGTGGTAGCCACCACACAGAGCAGCATGTGGAGCATCACGGCCACCCTCTTGAAGAATGCTGACCCAGTTCCCCACTGCTCCCACAGCCCCCCAGATCTGTGTGCTGACACATTTTGCCAGAGTCGCAGCTTTTACAACAGCAAAGGAAGGTACATGCTGAAATGCATCACGTGCTTATGCTTCAATCAAGAGGAAAATTGAAACGGGGAAGGAGGCTGAGTCTCAACAAAATGGAGAGGATGCGTTTCTGGGACCTCTGCTCACTGGTGTCACTTCTTGGTCCCAATTAATCTGAGCTTTCTCTTTCTGACCTAGACAGTTCCTAAGAAGTGTGTTAATGAAAACCAAATCCTTCCTCGTTTTCAGAGATATTCCTATCCCGTGACCCTCTGTCTGCCTCCACACCCCTTCCCCAGTAGTTAACTCTGACACCTGTAGGTGCCAGAGGCCTTGCCCTAAGCAGCCGTAATAGGACATGAGGAAGAGAATAGGCTGCCCACAGGGACAGCCTGACCTATGTAACTCAGACCTCACACTGGGAGCCCAGGGGCTGGGCCTATTTCTTGAGCAATATCACCTTGGACACGTGCCCCCAGCCCAGTTCTCCCCTCAAGTCTAAAGCTGTTTTTGTCCATGAAGATTCTGTTCAAAGGCTCAGGTGGCCAAGGGTGCCAAAGTTACTATAGCCTCAGCTTTTACAGGCCAGAAGTGAACCCATAGGTTCAGTGTCAGACCTCTTGGGTCAGGATGTCTTCTGGCTAGGGCAGAGACCCCACACTGTGGGACTCTTTGCCCCAGTTTCCCCTTTGGAAGTGCTCAGGAATCAGGGTGCTCTGAAGATTGAGCACAACCAAGATGCCTGGCACTGAATCTGGGGCAAGCTTAGGGATGAGTGCTCTGTGGCTCCCATGGCTGTGACCTATCTGACTGGACTTGTAGGATACCTCCAATCTGACCTTAACCCCCCTACACTCGCTCAAGTAAACTGTCTTTCTGTGAGCTAGGACCTGAACTCAAGTTCTGAGGACTGGAGCTTTGCCAGCCCCCCCCCCCAAACCGTTACAGAGGCCTCTTTAGTCTCCCAGAGTACCTCTCCTGCACATTGGGAAGGACAGACATGAACACAGTGCTTTTCTGTCACTGCCTTGAGGGGTTTATTTAAGACAACTGGTTTCTTCCTGGCACCACAGATGAACTGGCCACCTAGGCCAGAGCCAGGTACTCACACAGGAGTGAGATCAGGGAAGCCCAGCTCTCCTGAGATGTTCTTCACACACACAGACACACAAACACACAGACACACACACACACACACACACACACATACACACACTTGGGGTAGGGGCTTAAGATCTCTGTACTCCCACTGCTCCAGGACTTACCCAGGAGGGACTGTGCTAGAGGGATCTGAACTTCCTAGATAGTCGGATCCAAATATCCCTGACCCAGAAGGGGCCACAACACAGGCTCTTACGCTCCAGGTGGAACTGGTGTGGTAACCCTCCCCATGAGCTGGTGCATGGTCCTAGCCTTCAAGCCCTCCTCACACCCTGCTCTCACTCTGCTCCCAAGCCCTCCCAGATTCAGCCTGACTGAGAACCTGTCCTCTCCCCCAACCCATCCCATTTCTGTCTAGCTCTTAGCTGGATGCAGCTAGATCAGGGGCAGGAGGAGTCTTGTTTACTGCAATGTCCTCAGTACTGGCCCTGAGCCAGTAAATGACAGGTGCATAACTAGTGTATGATGGCTTAAAGAACAGAGATGACACTCGTATTTACCTTACACTGTCATAGTAGATACAAGATGGAGCATGTACGGCCTTCTCACGGTGCCTGGCATGCATGAGCACTGAACATCAAGGGGTGCTCAGTAACCTCATAACTGGCTTAAAGTTCATTGCCCAGCTTTCAAGTTGTTTTAGGCCCAGCTATTTTCCTAGTTGACTCCCACTTTTTCTCTTCCAGTCTCTAGACACTTCTAGCCAAGCATTGGGACTACTGTGGGTCAGGCCTTATCCTACTGTCATCCTAGCACCCTTTTCAGGGCAGATAGGAGCAGAAGAAGGTAAGGCAGTGTGGCACCAAACCCCATCATGCAGGCTCAAAATTGCTGGGCCTAGTGGCTCAAGTCTATAATCCCAGATGCTTGGGAGGCTAAGGCAGGAGGATCTCAAGTTCAAGGACTATCTGGGTAACTTATTGAGATCCTCTTTCAAAAATAAATAAATAGGGCTGGAGATACCATTTAGTGGTAGCCTAGCTTGCTAACTTCACTTGCCTAGCATGCATTAGGCTCTGGGTTTAATCCTTAGTGCAGGGAAATAAAAAGAAATGAAGAAAATAGGAAAAAAAGAAGAAAGAAAGCTAGTTCAGCAACTTGTTCTAAATGTCCCAAGCCTTCTGAAGGAGAGCATGTCTTTAAAAAAAGATTTATTTTATTTTTAATTATGTGTATATGGAGGTCTATGTACAGTGCCTATGGGGTCCAGAAGAGAGCATCAGAATCCCAGAGCTGGAGTTTCAGACAGTTGTGGGCTACCTTGCAGAGGTATAGAAAACTGAGCTCAGGTCTACTGCAAGAGAAGTATGCAATTCTAATGTCTGAGCCATCTCTCTAGCCTCAGAAGAGCATTTCTTAAGAAACATCTCCCTTGTGTCCCCATTGACCAAAGGGCCCCACCATACACACTTCTCCATGAGTTTCTTCTTGGAACATTTTTTATCATCTGGACCCAGTGAGGAGACTCCCTCTATAATTCAGACTACGGACAGCTTTTTCTGAAGTAGACATGACATCGTGAACAGCCAGCTCAGGGTAGGATGTCTGCTCAGGAAACTTTATTTCTCTACATCTTTGCTTTCATCCCAGGGTTGGAACCAAATGGGCCTGCTCCATGTCTCTCTGTTGGCTCTGTTGTTATCCTGTGTCTTCTGCAAGCTTACAGTGACCTTGTGCATTGAGGAGGGACACACATCCCTCAGGGCAGCTAGGCCTGAGGCCCTCCCTATGTCCAGGGGGAAACATCAGCAACATGCTCAGAGGGCTTGGGTCCTGCATGAGACATCATCTGGACAGGGAGCTGGAGACCTGGGCCAGGAGGCTCCCAAGTAAGCTTTTGGGGACTGGTTGTGACACACATCTGACCCCCAGCCTCTGTGAGCAGAGGAATCGCACGGCAATCATTCAGATGGCTGCCAATAAAAAGGGGCTTACACATAATGTGACAAGAAGAGATGAAGGATCCAGCCCCTCCATTATGTGGAGAGGGAGACTGAGGCTGGGAAAGGCAACATCTCAAGTGGGGAGATGGTGAAAATGTTAAGGTTCAGATAGCCCTGGCCCCTCACCAACAGGATCCCAAGGACTTCTCATGCTCCTGAGAAAAAGGAACCTAGCTGATAAGCACCTTGGTCTTTGAAGTCAAGAGAAGCAGACTTTTCTGCACTGTCTGGCCAACACATCAGGCTTCCCCTTTGATCTCTAAAGAGGACAGGTTTTAACAGTCCTGCTCTCCCACTCCCCCACCCCAACTTTAAAAAAAATACATCTGCCCACCTTCTGCAGGAGGCAGAAGCCTCCCTTTTAAAAGACCCCAGCTCAAGACCCGGGCAGACATTTTCCCTGCCCGGAAGGGAATCTGCCCCATGTGTTCCTTCGCTAATAAACCCTATTTTGATGGCATTTTATCTGTGCCTCGGTGCCTCATCATCCATTCGCTTGTTCTCCGCCAACTTTTTACCTAACAGAAAATAGGTAGAAAACACAAGAATAAAACCCCTGGGTATTGAAATACACTTTCTGTAACACCCAGCTCGCCCTTCCTCCGGAGCCTTTCCTTCTTTGTCAAAATCACTCAAGAACAGGAATGGAAAACTCTCAGGAAGAGGAAGTGAGAGGATGAGAGATGGTACTTGTGGTGGCCTGCTCACTAACAAGGGTGTGAACAACCACACCCCAGATCCTGCTGACTTGGACACCAGGCTCCCTTCCCCTGGTTTCTTACCTTCCCGAAATGGCTGTGTTTGCATCTGCAGTCGGATCTTGATGAGGTCCACAGGCCCGCCCAGTCCTACAGAGACCACACCGGCTACCATGCTGGCCAGAAGCAGGTCAGACAGGCTTCGGCTGGGGCCAGCCTCGGGCTCCCTGCAGCGATGCTGGCTGAGGAACCTCTGGGTGTTACTGAAGACCCCAAAAACCACTGAGTTGTAGACTGCAATGCTGGCCATGGGGAAGGACATGCCCTTGAAGAAGCCGAACACCTGTGGCGAGGGAAACCCAGTAGGATGGGTGAGTCTAGACCCATAACCACCCACCCCTCCCCCAAACCTCTATGTGCAGGCCAGGTATGGAGCTCCCCTGAGGCCCTAGCCCTGCCCTCATGGGCCTGCCCAAGATGCATGCTGGAGACATCTAAGATCAATACACCACTATGTCAGGATCTTGATAAGGCAGGAGAGACAGAAGATTGCCCCAGACTGGCAAACCTACCCATGTGTACTGCACCCTGGTTGCCAAAGGCAGGATGCCTCACATACGTGTGTGTGTGTGTGTGTGTGTGTATATATACATCCATGCACATGCACACATCCTGCTTGAGGCTCTTCCTCTCATAGCAATATTTTTCTAATAACTTGGGCCATTGAGCTACAGTAGCTCAGATATTCCACCAAAGTTCCAGCACCAGGACACTGGCTGGCAGACACTGCACGGAATGTGGACCAAAAAGAAGAATCAGTGTCCATCTTTCAGGAGACTGAGGGATTGTACCCATCACCCTTGGAATGCCAAGTACTAGGTTGGCAGTGTTCAGCCTAATTTCAAAGCAACTGACCAAAAGAGTCAACACAACAAAGGCAGGCAAGATGAACTTGTCTATAGGCAATCTTGGTGCCTGCAGGATGCTGTGGAACCCCAGGGCATTCGTTATGATGGAGCCCTGGAACCCATGGAGTCAGTAATTACAATGGGCCGCATTTCCAGGATTTGGGGTGGAGGGAAACTGGAGGGCTGCACAAAGCTTACACACTTGACCATTTCTTTAAATTAAGCCATTTATCTTAAATTTTAAATTTTTATTTTAGATTCTCCGAAGGGTAGTCTTGGATAGTAACATGCTAATTCTTAAGAAGAGAGCTGGTGTTACAGTTTCCCATTTGAAAATCAGCAGGGGGAGCCTTCCACTGAATCTGGATAAAGAGAAGTCTGTTGAGACTCAGCTTACCCAGCACTATTTTGGAAAAGCAACAATCCACCTTGTTTGTGCTGGAACTTTCCATAGCGTGGTTCTAAATTCATTAGAAATTCTCCAGAGAGATTATACAAAACCAGTCTCTCTAGCAATGTAGTTGGTGGCCAGGGATAAGTTAGGGCGGTATTTGCCATGTTGTAGGAGATGAGAAAAAAAACAAGTCAAGGCAAAACAGGAATGAGCTGCCTCATGCTTGTTGTGTTGATTGTGAGGATGGCCTGGTTCCCAGTGTATGTGTAGGAGGCCCTGGCAGACACCCTCCATCCACTCCAGGGCACTTACACTCTCCTTCCTGTACACCATGCGAATGCAGTTGAGTGTGCTCCCATAGCCTATGCCAGCCTGCAGACGAGTCTGTGGAGAGAGATCAGTCACATCCCCAAGCAGCCCCAAAGCCTTTGGGTCAGGCTTTACCCAAAGTGACCCAGTCAAGAAGGAGGCCTAGGCTCAGTCTTGGTCAGCTGGGTGCTACATGCTCTATGGGGACACCTCCTCTAATGCCCTATCCAGCCCTGCTCCATGTAACAGAGAATGACAAAGGCTGGTTAGCTGTTTAACAGTGATGGCTGCTAGATTTATGAGTCAAAAAGTACAAACCATGGCTCCATCCTATCTGCTGCTGTTAACTGCTCATCTCCCAGATGTTATTCTATTTAAAGATCTTCAAGACCTTGCCTGGGGCACTGGGGGAAGGCCTTGGCCTGCCTATTATCCTCCAGGCCTTTCCTCCCAGCAACATCTTGCCCTCCACACCCACTATGTTCACATTCCCAGGCTCAAGAACACCAAAGGTTTCTTACCTCTGACCTTTGCTCTGGCTGGTCCCCTGGAAGACTTCTACTGTCCTTTTGGGCCTGAGCTTGGACATTATAATGGTCCTATCTGCTTGTTTAAGTAGAGTTTACATTGGATTATTCTACCAGGGCAGGGCCATCTGTTTTCTTCTCTTCTTGCCCCTGCCCTGGCAGAGTGGCAGCTCTCCTAAGCCAAATGAAAAGCTAGATAGCAAAGGCGTGGTATCCCCTAAGGAAGGCTGGTTTTGGTGACTAGGGGTAGCAAGTTACAGACAGAGTATCTGAGGAAGCACACAAAATTGTCCATAATAGCCTCTGCCTTTTCCTCTGAGGAATCTACTTCTTTTAAGATGCATGGCCTATAATTCTTCCTAAGATGGTTTCAGGGAACTGTGAGAGCCACAGAGTGGCCTGTCCCCTCAGCATGCAATGTACAGTGAAGAGCAAAGACCCTGAGAAGCAGGTGAACCCTTTGTGCCCGAGTTCAACACTGAGACCTATGGAAAACTCCTGGAACTGTGCCTGCCATCACAGTGGCAGTCTCCCAGGTGACACTTTTCTGCAGTCCCAAGTTTCCCATAATAAGCAGGGGCATCTTGTATTATTTAGTGTCCCACGCTATCGTCTCGCCAGCAAGAACGACGCGGCACACTCAGGATCCTTCTGCAGAAAAGTTTTAATGCATCTTGAGAGGGAGAGCATAAGCTTACAGGGCGAAGACCCCGAATGTCGGAAACCCAGCCCTTATATAGGTTAGTAAGCCCGTCTTGGACGTGGCAACTCTTGATTGGTCGCAAACTCATCAGCCCATATCACGCCACGAGGTAGGCAGAGACTAGAACGTGGAAAATTACTTCGGGCATGCGTACTGACTTATTTACTGCTCAGCATGAACCGGATGTGAGCGCCATCTTGTAATGGCGTCTGCAGGGACGGCAGGCGGCTCCCCACAATTTAGCTCATTGTTTTCAAGGTAATTCTACGTATGCAACTAATACATACGTAGAATTAGCAGGATGGAACTATATCCTGTTAATAAATGTTGCAATATAAGGCCAGAGCTTTTCTGACACAACAGTCTCTCTCATTCACCCTCTTCTGACCAACCACCACAGCAATCGTACGGCCAAGAATTTGGTTGCCCTCCATCTACTTTTATGTGTAGCTGCAGAAATGTATAGGAAATGGTATCATGCTGTTTGTATTATGTTCATAATCAGGAAAATGTATGTATTGCCTCACTCCAACACTGTTTGCCTCATTCTAACACTATTTGTCGAGTGCCTATATTATGAGCCTTTTTCCCCACCTCAGGAGATTCAGTAGTAAGATAGTAAAATCTCTGGCCTCATGTAGTACACAACCTAGTGGAGTAGGAGGAGAGTCAATAAAAAGTAATTCCCAAGTTCGTCAGGTGAGGGCTATAGAGAAAAACAAGCCAAGGTTAAGAAGGGCTGAGTCAGGGTGAGGAAAGTGGGATTTTAAGTTAGTAGGTGGGAGAGACACTCTAGAAGATACTGCAGTATGGGAAAGGTGCCCTCATAGTCTTCGTCAAACAGAGCCACGGATGTCTACCTTGGGGTAGGGTGTTGCCAACCAGGACAATGACGAGGGTCATGGAAGGTGGTAGAGGCTTCTCTATATACCCTACTTAAAGCTGGCATGAGACTCAGCACTATCTCTCATTGGCCCCAGCTCTGTCAGAGACTGAATGGTAGACTCCCATAGAGGGACAAGTTCCCACTAAAGTTGAGTGGTCAAAGCACTTAAGCAAATGGCACATGAAGGGACTTAACCCAGGAGTAAAACCTGGATCCCAGATTATCTCCCAGGCCATGAGCAGTGGTCTGCCAGACATGCTGCACTCTCAGCTGGGCACTGGGGTCAACAGCAAAGTCAAGGCTCCAGGATCCCCGATTACACCAGGAGCTGGGGGTTAGCGCCAGGAGGTGGTGGTTAGCATCCAGCAATGCATACACGCATCTCATAGCACTTACCTCACTGAATGCCACAAATGTCGGGAGGTGCAGGTACCATCACCCTTACAGATAAAGTAATGCTGCCTACATTAGTTTCCTGTGACTGCTGGAGTAGCTAAAAGCATTCTAAGTTTATTCTCACACAGATCTATAGACCAGAAATACCTATTCCTAGCACTGAGTGGCAAGCAGCTAGCATCTTACCTGTGGCAGCACAGTCGAGGGCAGAGGAAGGGGACCTTCCCTGGGCCCAGTAATCCAGGGATTACAGTATCCCATGGGCAAGCCCTAAGATCTCAGGCAGGCAACCTGTTCGCCTCTCCTACTCCTGAAATTTATCAGGGTAGGAATGGGCTGTTTCTTGCTCTGTCTTCAGCACCTGTGTGGACAATCTTCAGGACAGTGTCACCAAGGAGGTACTATTTGCCCATTTTACTGACAAGAAAATGAGGTTTGGGGAGGGTCAGTGCTATATCTTGGGTCATTAGAGGGAAAGTGGGGAGAGTGAGACTGGAACCTTTAATTATTATTACTATTGTGTGCGGGTACATATGTACACGGGGGTGCCCGTGAACACATTTGTCTGTAGGCCAGAGGACAACCTCAGGTGTCATCCTCAAGAACGCTACCTATCTCCTCTGAGTCAGGGTCTCTCATGGGCCTGGAGCTACCAACTAGGTTGGACTGGCTGGTTCTGGGATTGTAAGTGTGTGCTATCATGCCTGGCATTTTTATGTGTGTTCTGGGAATCAAACTCAGGTCCTTGTGTGCTTCTAAGGCAAGCATTTTGCCAAATGAGCTATCTCCCCAGCCTTGAGTCTGGACTCATATTTGGACTTCCTCAAGACTTCTAGTTGGCAGGGACCCAAGAGAAAATGTCACAGAAGGAAGGAGGATGTTCCGGGGCAAACAGGCGCCCAAGGCCATGACTCTGGGTGGATCCAGGGTAGGCCACATGAGATCACAATGGTGCTTCAGCAGGATCTTCTCACAGGAAGGGTTTTCCCACAGTGTGGAGCAGAGTGGTGAGAAAAAGGTGACACAAGGTGGGGTGGGCAGGCAGGCCTGTGCGGGGAGGAGCTCACTTCCTTGATGGTATAAATCCAGTGGTGCACATCTTCCAAAAGGAGAGAAAACTTTGACAAGAGACACAGGCCATGGGAAGGCAAAGGCAGAGACTGGGGCTGCAGTGCTACAGCCACAAGTCAAGGAATATCAGAATTGAGCAACAGCAGAAACCAGGAGAGACCATGGATCACAGTCCCCTGGAGGCCTCCAGAAGGCCCTTGACTTCCCTTCTGGCTTCCTCACCATGAGAGGGTCTACTTCTGTTTTTTTAAGGTACCACCCAGATTGTGTTAATCTGCAATAACAGCAACTTAAGAAAACTAAGACCCTAACTTTTTTACAGTTCAGTTTCTCACACCCTATTCAATAATCATTTGCTATGAATCCAGTCAGCTAGAGAAGTAGTGGCCCGTTTACTTGCAGGGATGCCGAGAGGGGAATTAGTAAGCAGTTCTGTGGTGGGTCCACTGGGGAAGTCATTTGGGAAAATGACCATCCACCTTTTGAGGTGTCTCCATAGTCCCTCTGAAGAGAAATTATATATATATATAGTTTAAGGTGGGAAATTTTAAACACATTCTCCAAATTTGGTTAAAAGCCAGCTAGATACAATATAGTAAGTGGAGAAAGATTAATTGATATATATGATGGTTATTAAAATGGCAGCTCTCAGTTGTGAATACTTACTGGGTATCAGGACAATTCTTGTATTTACTCTGCAAGCGAAAGTAAATCAAGCCTGCTTAACAGGCTATGCAAGTAGGAAACGCCCAAATCAGGCTTTAGACCGTAGGCCTGTACAGTTCCAAAGCCTGTGCTTTCTGGCTTGACTTGTATCTTCCAATTGATCAAACTAGTGTTGATTAGTTTATCAGAAGAACCTTGGGTAGGGCAGACTAGGAAGGAATTTGGTGAGTCTGAGCAAGTAGGGTGTCAGGGACAGACAGTACCCTCCTGTAAAAAAAAGTCAAAGAGAGCAGGCTGGAGAGATGGCTCAGCAGTTAAGAGCACTGACTGCTCTTGCAGAGGACCCAGGTTCGATTCCCAGAACCTACATTGTGGCTACGAACCGTCCTTAACTTCAGTTCCAGGGGAATCTGAAGCCCTCTTCTGACCTCCGCAGCATTGTACAAACACGGGTGCGCTCATGCTCATGCAGACAATACACTCATATACATAAAATAAAAATAATAAAATATTTTTTTAAAAAAATCAAAGAGAATAGCTCAGTGTTCCCAGACCCCACCCTGGAGAGGTACACAGCAGGCACCTTCCTCCCCTGGGTTGGGAATCTGATAGATACTCATCTGGCAGGTGCTCTGAGCATGACCTGGACCCTGCTCTGGACTGCACTGGTCTGCTCTGCTCTGCTCTGATCTGATCTGGGAAAAGTTAGAACCACTGACTGGGGAGGCCCAGCCCCAGGCAGGACAAATGGCTAGCCCTTATCGGGGACTAGACAGATCTTGGTGAGCATCCAAAGCTGTCATAGAATGAGGAGCCCTGGGGAGTGCCTGGAAGGGGTCCTATCTCTAGGCGGTAGTGTCTAGCCTTGAGATGCTGGTCACTGAAGATGGACTTCAGATAAGAACTTGCTCGAGGAGGCTGGAAAGATGGTTCAGTCGTTAAGATCACTGACTGCTCTTGCAGAGACCCAGGTTCGATTTCCAGTACCCACATGGCAGCTAGCAATCATTTGTAATTTCAGTTCCAGGGGATCTGATGCCCTCTTCTGACTTCAAGCATCACATGACACGGGTACACTTACACACATGCAAGCAATACACTCATACACATAAAATAAAAAAAAATAAATTAAATATTTCAAAAAGGACTTGCTCCAGAGTCCTCCTTGGTGAGTTCTGACCCAAGTGCTCGGCACTGGCAGGAAGCAGACACATCTGCCCATTCATCTTGTTTTCTCTGTGCTTCTCACAGCACCCATGTCATACCCTTTCTCATCTACTACACCCACGACACACATACTGGCTTCTTTGCTTTCCCTGAGGACACACATGAGGCCTGTTCCTACCCTGAGGCCTTTGTAGCAGCTTGTGCCTCTGCCCCCAGCTCTATTTGTGAGGCTGTTTGGATTGAGTCTCAACTTGGTTGCCTACTCTGCTGAGAGACTATCTCCCACTCTCCCACATAGGAAGCCTCTAGTCATCGCTGCCATCCCCTATGTCTCCCTAATATGTCCCACTGCCTACTAATGCCAAATACATTTGTCATCCCCCCTAACTATTGTTCTAAAAAAATCTGACCCCTTGAACTTGTGGCTAGACAGGGCCCAGGCTGTAGGGAAGAACCTGCTATTATTACTCTACTAAATGCACATAGTATTAAACCAATTCCTAATGACTTATTGTTAAACCCATGGATTAATGCACCTCGTAGCTCTTATCAGAGAAGCTTCTTCTTGTAGTAGATAGTGATTAACATAGAGACCTGCAACTGGTCAACGTGCAGAGACTGTGGCGTGCTTAGCCCTAAATGGGACACCTACATCATACCTTCTCCCAAGGCTCAGGGATCATTGTGGAAGAGGGGGCAGGAAGATTGTAAGCACCAGAGGCAGTCTATGACTACAAGGAAACCGTTTCCCATACATATGCACTCTCAGCGATTGTGGCTATATGTACAAATTCAAACTGGACAAAAATCCCATCATGGAGGGAGGGAGGTGGGCAAGAAGTCACAACCCTAGCTGAGGAACTATTGGCAACTGAGAGCTGCTGGGAGAGTCAGTTTTCTTTAAGAGGGGGATGCAGAATAGATTGACCAGGCTCCAGGAAATGGACCCACACCAAAGGGCATCTGGAGACACAAATTAGGCTCATTGGCTTTAAAAAAATTTATAATAGAGAGCATGAAGTCAGGTGGGGTTAGTAAAGTGGGGATGGAAATAAGGGAGGGAGTGACTATGATCACAATACATTGTATAAAATTATCAAATAATTTTTTGGAAAAAAGAATATTGATGAAGAAAAAGAATATTGAAAAAAATTTGTTTGCCTGCCTCCCTCACAGCTGAATCCTCAGTTATGGTCAGCTAATGGCTCCTGGTAGACAGGGTAGATGGGTGGGTGGGGGCCCAGCCTCCACTGCCCCAGAGTCTCTAAACCAGCTCTGCTGACACCTTCCTTCTGCCATTCCCCACACAGTAATGAAGCTTCTTGCCCAGTTCTGCCAGTCTCCCTCCATCACCTCTCTCAGTGCCCAAGTAGGTGCTTAGCATCATAGTACTTATGACGCCTTATCATCTTCTACCCAGGAGGCTCCTGGTTCATCCACTCATGAGGGTGGACAGAAGAACTCAGGGCTCTCCTTGGAGCAAACATGCTCAGTTTGCTGTCTCTGTTCAGCAATGCATGTAGGGACTTCCCCCTCCCCTGCCAGGCACCCAGAAGCCCTGCCACAACACTCCCTGTAGGTTGAGCTGCTTTTCCATGTCTTCATGGCTCCACTCCAGGCTCTTGTATCAGAGTCTCTTGGGGAGGTGGCACCTAGGAATCCCCAGCTGAGCCTGACACCCTGAAGACTAGGGATCTCCAGCCTACAAGGGCATCATTCACCAAGATCAGTTGGCCACGTATAGTACAGAAGGTGCTCAATAAACAGTGAAGTTCTGCCCGTCTGGTGACAGGCCTTGGGATTTTAGCCTCTGCAAACCCAAGTCACTTTCTCATAAATCCTGAGCATGTTTTCTAAAGTTCCTACATCTTGTGAAAATAGCCAGAAAACTGGACCCCAGTAGCTCCATTTTCCTCTGAAATTTGTGGCCAAGAAAGGGTCCGGGGATACTGCACTGGCAGGGTCACCTGCGATGGTCACAGTCTTGACATCAACAGTATTGTACTGTGCACCCTTCCCCACAGCCAGGCCTCCTGTGCCCTAACTCCTGTTCCTCCAGTTCCTCTGTCTTGAAAACCCAGACAGACCCAGGAATGGCACAGACCTTGGCAGTCTTAACCCCACCAACAGAGGAGCTCTTCTGGCCAAGGACAAGGTGGCCTGGAGAGTGATTTTGGAAAGGGAAGAACACCACACAGTCTACTTCCATCCACCATGGTTAGGGGCACCGTGGGGCTATCTCCAGGGAGACCAGGCCAGCAGCAATGCCATGACATTTCTGTTTGGGAAAGCGGTTCTAGACCACCTTCTACCATTCAAGAAACCTCTTCTGTCCTCTAAACTGTTCCAGGGGTTCCAAATATGGACAGGCACTAACCAGTGGAGAAAGCTGGCTCAAAGCCAAGATCACTTGGGTGCTTTTGGTCCTAGCACTGGCATAATCCTGCTCTGAGACTGGAGCAAGTTTCTGTATTCCAAACCTTACTTTCTGGGATATAATGGGAAGCTGGTACCATTTGTAGGACAGGAAACAGCCTGCTCTGCTTCCTGTCACATCCTGCCTGCCACCCTCTTGGATTCGACCTCCCTTGGGGACCCTAAATATCATCCCCCTTTTACTCCCAAAAGGACATTTTCAAATACTTAAGACAAATGGTCTGCTCTCTCATCAAGGAGAATAGGGCCAGACATGGTGGCACACACCTTTACTCCCCACACTCGGGAGACAGAGGGAGGTAGATCTCTGTGAGATCAAATGCACATCAGTCTGATGTACATTTCTAGCTCCAGGCCAACTGGAACCTTGTCTCAAAAAGGAGAGAGGGAGGGACGGAGGGAGGGAGGGAGGGAGGGAGAGAGGGAGAGAGAGGGAGAGAGACTGGTCTGATTTAGGAGGAGCCATCACCACACAGGAAGATGAAGAGGAAAGGAAATTTCAGACATCCGAATCGGACCTCTGGGGTTCCTCTGTGCACAATGCAGGCAGAGCTTTAGAAAGCCATCTGGGATTTGAAAGTGAGGAACCAGCATCAGTGGCCATGTTGTTAGGGCATGGCTGAGTCCTGTTCACCACTGGGGCTGGGCAGTAGAGGTGGATTGAACTCAAAGAGTGCTCTTCTGCAGTACCTCCAACCTCAAGTTTTCATTGTATGGCCAAAGACAAGCCCCCTACCCGTTTCAGGAGTACCTGCCAATATCAGGATGACTCTGCTGGCTCCAGAGGCCTCATGTCCCATGTACTGCCTCAGATTGTTATGGTTCCTTCTCCCAGCCTAAGTCAGAAGTCCTAACCTGACCTCTAAGTCTACTGAGGATTAAGTGCTAACCAGCCTGGATTCAGGTCCATGGCTGCAACTTAGAACCTGAGGTATCAGCAAAACTGTTCCACACTGGCCTTTCTCAAGCAGGGTCCACCTCACATTTGAAATGTTTCTTGATTGTTCAGTGCCTCAGGGATGTGGAAGGAGGACACTCACTAGGACACAGGACATTGGCAGAAATAAAGGGAGAGTCATTCTAATGCAGGTCTCCCCTCTTCACACCCTCCCTGGGCCAGTAGCAGAGAGCCTACCCTAGGCTGGAGACTCTCAGAAGGACCCAAGTGAGGCACAGACCCAGGGGCAAACCCACTTCAGGTACCTTCCCAAGAAGTAATGGAAAGCACAGCTACTGTACCTTGACTGTATCCAGAGGGTGGCCGACAATGACACTAGCTGCACCTGTGGGTCAAAGAAGAAGCCCTGGTCACTCCAATCCTGGACTTCTGGTTTGCACCAACTAGCTCTTGAACAGAGTTCAGGCACAGTCATTCACTTATTAGTTGACAGTTAGTGATCAAAGGATGTTTCCAACATGCTAGGCCTGATCCAGCTATAGAGGAAAGTAAGGAAAATGGAGTCAAACCTGGGTTTTACCTTATAAAGCACCCCCAAATGGGAGGTAAGGTACTGAGACAGCTGGATGGCCACATGTGAAAGAATGGAATTACTCCCTTGCCTTGCCTCATACTACATACAAAAATTAATTCAAAATACACCAAAAGCCTAAACAGAAGAGCTAAAACTATAAAATGACTCAAATATATGAAAACATTCCATGACCTGGGCTTTGTAACATCATAGATATGATACCAAAGCACAAACAAAAAAAAGAGAGAAAAAAATAAACTACATGTCATAACAATTAAAAACTTTAGTACATCAGAGGACAAGCTCAAGAAATTGATATCAGAGCTAGAGAGATGGCTCAGCAGTTAAAAGCACTAGCTGTTCTTGCAGAAGACCCGGGTTTGGTTCCCAGTACCCATACAGTGGCTAACAACCATCTGTAACTCCTGTTCTAGGGGATCTGATGCCCTCTTCTAGCCTCTGCAGGCATTGCATGACATGATTGCAGGCAATACATGATGTGCAGGCAATACATTAAAAAAACTTTTTAATGAAGTTAATGACAACCTATAGAATGGGAGAAAATGTTTAAAAAAAAAACTTACATCTTGTAAGAGTCTTGTTTCTAGAATATATAAAGAACACTTACAACTAAAAGAAAGTTTAAATTGCCAAAATAGACAATAGAAGAAGGCACACAAATGGCCAACAGTACATGAGCGTAGTCATTAGGGAAATGCAAATCAAAGTCATGATGAAACCTCCCTTCATAGGCACGAGGATGACTCTACTTAAAAAAGGAAGATAAGTGTTGATAAGGATAGAGGGAAATAGAACTCTTTTATGTTGTTGATAGGAATGTGAAAGGGTACAGCCACTGTGGGAAACTGATTAGTATCCAAAAACGTTAAACATGGAATTATTACATGCCTCAGCAATTCCAATCCTAGATATATACCAAATAATTGAAAACAAGCATTCCAACAAGAAGATGTGCATTCATGCTCACTGCAGAATTCATCACAGGAGACAAATGGTAGAAACAGACCAAATGTCCATTAAGAGATACACAGTGGATAAATGTGATACATAACCAATGGCATGTTCTTTAGCCATGAATATTGTGCACTACAATTTCCTCTGGATTGAAACATCCCATCTTGAAGAAACTCCCTACCATTCAGAAAGTAAAACTTAGAAGTCTCAGAAGTCCCTGAAACTTATAAGATTCACAAGCTCCCTTCCCAAGGGCGTATAAGCCATAAGAACTGTCCGGAGAGGAGATTCTCTGTCTAGCCAAGCTGTGCAGGAATTTCAGGGCTGCAGCTTCCCTGGGTTGTCACCTGTACTGGGGTGGGCTTTTCAGTGACACAGCTGCCTTTGATTCATCTATGCCCCTGTAAGTAACCCCAATAAACTCACTGGTTTATTAAGCTAGACTTTGGTGGAATGGCCTCCTTTGTCTGACATTATGCTCTATCAGGGGTGAACATCCATTTGTTCCTGTCTCCCCTGGAAAAAAAATCACAGAACAAGTAGAAGTGGAGTACTGAACTGTGCTGCAGCATGGATAAACCCCAAAATACATTATAGTAAGCAAGAGAGTCCAAACACAAAACGTGACATAGTGTATGATTTTACTTATATGAATTATCTATAATGGGTAAATTCATGGAGAGAGAAAACAGATTAGTGGGTTCCATGGCTGCAGGGAGGTTTAATTAGCAGTGATCATTGAATGGATGCAGGCTCTTCTCTGGTCATGTTAAACAGTAAACTGAGACACAATAACATTTTAAAGCATTTGTTTAGCAAATAATTAATGAAGTGGGTAACTCTAAGGCAGGAATAGAAGGATACATCTGTGCCCAGATCTTTAAACACATGCACATAAAACAAAAAACAGCCATCCACACACACACTTGCACAATTAGAAGGGAAGCAAGGCTGTCTCAAAGCCTTTTTGGTCCTGGCAACTGACATTCGAACAAGGCCTGTTCTTCCAAGACAAATTCTTCTGCCACATTGATGGAAGAAGGCAATGTCTCCGCCAGCTGATGCAGTTTAACCAGCCAAGCTAGGCAAGGCAGCCTGGAGTAATAGTTTTACAGGGACAGGGGAAACCAGCTGTCCTGGAATACATGTCCCTTGGTCCAGAATGTCCTATGCTCTCACACCTTCTACATTCCTCTTGAAGGAAATTGGCACAACATAGGACCCCTGATCATGGAATGTCTGATCCCCAACCATCCAGTTCTATGTTTGGGACTTCCTCTTTCCCCTTGCCTGGATGTCCAGATGGGCAACATGGATGAGTCCCAAAAGAAACCACAAGAATGACTGAAAATAAATGTCCCCTGCAGCCCCTGAATTCCCTGTAGCAGCTGTCCCCCCAAATCCCCCTTGTAGCTGCTGCCCCTATAAGACTCTGACCAGCCCCTATACCACTTGCACAGCTTCCAACCCACAGGAAGTTTGCTGCCCCTCACTGTGCTAATAAACACAGTCTAGTCTGCTGAGGTCAGATGTGGTCACTTTCTTTCTCTCTTATTATTCCTGTATTCTGTACTCCAAAACCTAACACTTCTGAACTGAGCAGTGACAGAGAAATAAAAGGCAACAGAGGCCAGAGCTGTCTGCAAGTCAAAGCCTCACGCTGCCCACTTAACAGGGAGAATGGAGCTGTGGTCCTCAGGTGCCACTGTCTCAACCATGGTGGTACAGGCATCCTCCAGCTTTGAGCAGCATCTTAGACCCAACTTTGGGCAAGCTATTTCCATATTCACACTCAGTCCACCTGCCTGAAAGTAGAGGGTGCAAGGTAAACAGTGGGGTTAGCAGGGCAGTAGTTTTCAGACTTTGGAATCTCAGGGATTTGTAGACCTTCAAACAAAATGTGGAGCATGTCATGGTGAAACTTCATTGTGCAAAGAAATTCAACCACCATAGTCAAGTTTTGAGGTTCAAAGACCTTGGCAGACCTTAGCCCTAGATTGTCTGGGTTAAAATGACAAGCCACTGAATTTCCCTCAACCCCCATTTCCTCATCTATAAAATAAGGCTGGATCCTCATCAAGGTTGCTATATAATTAAATAAATATACGCAATCAGTGTAAAAGGACATACATTGCAGAATTAAATTGATACAGTAGTGGTTTGAGGGGGGAGGGGGGACAGGGCACAACTGGGAGTCAGTACTGGGGGGGGTGAAATGCTTTGTAATTCATGGAGATGCTTTACCATTAGGAGGGGCAAAGGGGCCCAAAAATGCAGGCTGAGGAGCACAGGGTAAGGCTAGGGCTGGGGGCCCACAGTGGCAGGACCGGTTCCTCTCAGCTGTCATGAGCACCTGCACCCTGGAGCTCCACTCCCAGTCCAGCCAGCTTGGCTCTCTCCATGGCAGCGCCTCCTAAAGCCAATCTAATCTTGAAGCAGGAGATCTTAGCCACCCCAACCTGGGATTCAGCAGTTAAGAGCCACCCCAAGCACAAGTGCCATCCCTAAACTCAGATGCGCTCTGTCCCGAAGGGTGTGTGTGTCTGGGGTGGCTCCATTGGCTGTCTGCTCTGAGCAGCAGCGGTTTAATCATTATGAGATCTAGTTCGTCCCGGCCTAAAGTTGAGGCAAATTAGAAACTGTAGGTGAATCGCTGTGAATTTTAGGAGCTCGTTTCAGTAGCCGGGAGTGGCTGCAAGGCCAGGCCAAGCGGGCTGGGCTGGGGACGCTCCGTGCGGCAGGCGCTCACTCCCGGGTGCGTGGTATGAAGCCCCGCCGCGCCAACTCGCTAACTCGGAGCACCAATGCAAACAGCTGGCGCAGCGCCCTGCAGCTCTCCCTGGCGTCCGCGGGTCTTTCGCAAGCACACTCACCTCCAATCCAGCCCGCCGCAAAGTCTTCCAGCTGGAAGCTGCTCATGGCCGGTGCCTCGCGCACCTCGCTTTCCGGCAGCCAGCGCGGTGCTGCCTCAGTGTCTGCGCGGCATTGCCCGCGGTTCAGGGGCGCAGAAGAAAAGTGAGAGTGAGGATTGCCCTGCAGGTTCTAATCCTAAACCAGTGTTCCAGTCGCCACGCGCTGGCAGTCCACAAGTGCAGGCAGCCGCTGACATCCCGCCCCCAGTGGACCTTAAAGGCACAGCACTCAGACAAGTGGAAGGCGGGCTACAGGGAAAGAGAAAGGCCAGGAAGTTACAAACACCAAGGGCTAGCTGTGATAGTACTTACCTGGAAAGACTCATCAAATAGCCCTCTCTACGCCAACTGAGGGGCTGAGGAGCTGGCTCGGTAAGAATGCTTGCTATGAAAGCACGAGGACCTGAGTTTCGATCTCCAACACCCACATTGATGTACTGCATGGCCAGGCTTAGCGGTTTGAGAACAGACTCCAGCTTCAGAGCTATGGGGCCAGAGACAGGAGAATTGCTGAAGCTTGCTTGATAGCCAGCCTGGCAGGAAACCGGAGCTCCAGATTCAGTGAGAGATCCCATCTCAAGGGAATAATGAAAAGCGATGGAGCAGGACACGCCAGGTCTTCCTCTGACCAACGCGCGCGCGCACACACACACACACGTAATTAAATAGTATAGATAAACCAGAAGTTCTTGATGCTTTGATGAGCTGATGGCTCATGTGTGGCACATTCTGCCATGCATGGTTTCACTATAAAATGGAGTACACACAGTTTTCTGAGCCAGTTTTAGAGTTAAAGGACTGTTTCCTCTCCCCCACTCCATACACACTGTCCATACTTTGGGGTTGAGGGCCCTATTACTAAGGGAGAGGCACAGAAATCAGTTTCAAGCCAGCTCAAAATAAGTACTAATGAGTCCAACATTGTCCTGCACTTGACTTACACCCCACTCGGAAGGCCTGAGTCTAATCTTTCCAGCAACTGTATGGCCCCCACTTCACAAGGGAGGGAAATCATTATGTGTATAATATATAGAACAGAATACATGTGTGTCTCACACAGATGGCAATCCTTTTAAAAAATGGCGGCCCAGAGTAGGAGATGAACATTGCCAGATTCTAACCACAGGCTTAGCAGTCTGAGAACAGACTCCAGTTTATTCTCCTAACCCTGGCTCTCACCAGGAACAGCCTAGGGGATCCCTGACCAAAATGGAAAATCCTTCCATGTCCCCTGCTGTGAGCACACAGCCTCTTACTATGGATGGCACTAGCCTGACCTGAGTGGCTAGTCTCCTGTGTTGATGTAAAAGACAGCTCTGGTTCCAAAGGGAGTAAGAGATTATTAAGCAAAAGTGACCACGGCCTGGGAGCATGAATTCACGTTGCCCCCAATGATATGCTCCACCGTTGAAATAGCTACATAAACTGTTAATAGTTACAGAAAAAAAGAGTCAGGCATTTGGTGGGTTATTATGTGATACTAATCTTGGGGAGCTGTGAATAAGCATCTACTCACCCCAGCCAGGGAACCAATGACACACCAAAGTAAGGATATCATTAAAGTCCAACTTGGTGAATCAATGAGTCTTCTAAAAAATACTTTATTTATTTACGTGTGTTTCCTTAACCCACTAAGCCACCTTGCTGCCCTTAATCCTTATTTGCCCTTGAGTCTATAACTATATATTTCATATTTATTCCTTTATGCTGATACCTTTCTAATCATTTTACAAGCTCTCTGAAATCCATTTTCATGGGAACTCATGGGAACACTATTTCCAAATTTCTTACATGCTAGAAAGAATGTACTCACAGCCTTATACTTACAAGTCAGTTTCCCTAGATATAAGACAGTTTGTGTGTGTGTGTGTGTGTGTGTGTGTGTGTATGAATGTATTGTCTGCATGTTTTTAAGTGCACCATGTCATGCAATGCCCATGGAGGTAAAAAGAGAGTGTTTGAGTCCCCCAGAACTGGAGTTACAGTTGTTAGCTGCCCTGTGGATGCTGGGAATTGAACATGGGTCCTCTGCAAGAGTGGCCAGTGCTCTTAACTTCTGAGCCCTCTCTCTAGTCCCTACCAATAAGTTTTATTGGGGTTACTTACAGAAATATGGGTGAGGGGTTACTTACAAGGGTAGAAACAACTCCAAATCAAACTATATCACCCAAGCCTACCCCAGAATGGGTGACAGCTCCCAAAAGCCCTCAAGGACCCTTCCTTGCCCTTGACCCAGAATAATGTGTATGTGTGAGCTGTGAGATGATCAAGGGCTGTAAGCATCCAATGAATAGTCCTTGAAAGCAACTAAGTACCTCATTTGTGTTGTAAACAACAGGTGGGATTAGATTGATAATGTCTCTTTGTGGTTGTATGTGCTGTTCTAAGTCAGTAGGGGTCAGAAAGGAAAAATTCCCTGATAAACAAGTTCCATTTTTCCTTTCCCATTTCCTGATGGATGTATTACTTCAATAAAGAGAGAGCAGCACAGCTCTGGAGAAATCTGAACTAATAAGCTATCAGAACAGATTAGACCCCACTCTCAGTTTGAATGAATGCTGAGTCAGTATGCTTTTGCTCCACCATAATGTGGCATCGTACCACCATACCATCCCATAGCTATAAGGTGGTGATGTAATTATAAGCCTCACCCTACACATCTGGGTCAATGTGTGGGAACAACCAGTCAAGCTTCCTTCTTCCAAAGCAGGGGTCTGATTACTAACACTAGATCCTAATGGGCCTGCTGAGGAGTGTGGCCTGGAGGTAGGCAGGTCCTCCTGCAGTGATGTTCCCTTCCTCCCTGGGGTATGCTTAGAGAATGTACTTTTTCTTGGATTCCAGAGCCTGAGCCAGCCCTCTGATAAAAGAGTGTGGGATTAAGTACAGGCCTGGCTGGAGGGAGTTTTGCAAAGTGCTATGGAGGGTTGGAAAGTCACAGCCTATCACTGAACTCAGTTCAAGTGTGCTTGGTGACCCACCAAGCTTTGAGGCTACAGCATTGTCACCAGCACTGGCCTCTGAGCTGTGCCCTGCCATGTGTGAGATCTGGGCCTGGGGCTCTTAAGGGAAAGGAAATGTCTCCAAAGAGGCCCTTTGGTGAATTCATCACTGGAGTGCGTCCATTGTGAAGCTGGCCAACGCCCAAGGCCACTTTGTAGGACCACCTAGGTGCTACCAGGTGGTTTACCATCTCCTCAGTCCTGTATCAGTGATGTTAGGGTGGTCTTGAGTTGGCAGGCAGCATCCCTGGCAGCCAGAATGGCCTCGCTGGCCCCGGCACTGCTGCTTGACTGCCAATGGACTTGAGTGAAGTGAAGAAGCAGGCTCCATTTCAGAAGGAATCCTCACATTCCTGAATGCATGCTGCAGGAGGATGTCAGTTAAGTGGCAGCAGAGGACAGGCTCTCAGAGTCCTAAGTTCTGGGCTGTGGGACCCAGCAGAGCTCTGGCTCCAGGGAGGGGATCTGGGCTATCACTCCTCCCTGGCTTTCTCTCTGTAGGGAGTAGCTTTGATGCTGTTTCTTTAACATCTTCATTCCACCCCCAGTAGGGCAGTTACCAACCAGCTCACAGGTAAAGAAACCAAGGCCAGGGTTAGCCACAGAGAGGCTCAGAGGAAGATGCAGAGAGAGCGACTGCCTGAGTTGCTAGGGCCAGAAAGAAATTCTGTTTCATTTCTCCTTCAGTTCTTCCATACAGGGATCCCCAGCATGTGGACAGGGTGTGCTGGTATCATTGGATAATGGAGCCTGCTTCCTGTTCCTCACTAGCTCTTTCAAGGACAAGTTTCCTGAGCACCAAGTATGTGCCAGTCTGCCTTTGAGAAGTTCTGTTGAGGAGACAGTTTGCCTGAGATGTTATGTGGAGGTGACCGGGGGACCATTAAAGAGGGAGTTTTTGTGTTCTGGGCAGTTGAGGAAGACTTCATAGGCTTGGAGTCAACTGATTGGATCTTAAATCTATTCAGGCCCATGGCTTCTAGCTCTTCAGACCTCTCAGCAAGGGACTCAGTCCCTACCTGTGCCCACCTGTTACACCTGGGCTAGCTGCTCATGCCTGACCTGCTATGGTGAAGGGCTTATTCTGGCCCACAGCTTCCTCTTGCCTAGTGTTCCTCTCCCCTCCGTCTTCCACTCATCATTAGATATGGGGTTCTCAGTCCCCAAATGGATCATCCTCCATATACACCCATCATCTCCACTTACAATCCCCTACTTCACCTCGACTCCAGGCCTCCTTCTGAGCAGAGAACCTCTGCTCTACTCAACGTTTCCACCTGGGCAGCTCACGCATCAACTCAGCACATTCAAGAACTCAAACTCCCCAGTGCTCCTCCTTCCACACGCCTCACTTAGGGAACTGCAGCTTCACCCAGATACCATGAAAACCTGGATGTGAGCCCCACTCCTCTCTCTCCCAGGGCCTTGCCCCACCAGCCCAGGGCTTTTGTAGCTCCACCTCAGTGATTCCCAACACAGGGCTGTGCTGTCACTGCCTGGAGTATGGTGGACAGTGGCCTTTTGTTCCCTCTGACCTCATCTTGTACCCACCCACCAGTGGCTGCCATCTCAGTCTTCTGGAACCTGGTATCTGCTCTGGCTATCTCTGTGCAGTACCTTCCAAAGCCTCTCCCTGTGCCCTTGAGCATATACTCCAGTTCCCTGTTTAGGCGTGTGCAGGTCTGTGGGACAGAGTTCAATAGCCTTTCCACGCCTCATTCCCATCACATAGCCTTGCTCATCTGGAGCTCAGCCAGGCAGTGTGGCCTTCACACCGCATTCCTTCCCTGCATGTGCTGGTCCCTTTCAGGGATGCCCCGCCTGCTCCTCTGGCTAAGGCTCCTTTGGACCTGAAGTTGACTGTGACAGGATCCCACAGAGTCTTTCTTTGGAGATACTGTATTGTCCCTCTCCAGTTGCAGGAGCTCTTAGCTAACTGACAGGACAGGACAGGCCACACTGATTTGGAGGGTGCTGTGTAAGCTTGTCTTTGGGATCCTTCCAGAGAATGCTTAGATGGCATTCAGCCTATCACCTACTCAGTGAGATACTTGGAGCTGGGAAGTGGCGATGGCTGTGAAGTGAGGGTGGAATGGCCCTGGGCTGTCTGCCAGGCTGGGGCTGCCACTGACTGGTGTCTGTCTTTGGAAGGCAAGGATGGTACC